CGTGTGTTTACGCTGGAGCTGTCTGTGTGCTCTGTCCGTGTGCTCTGTCCGTGTGCGTACCCCCAGCCTTTCCCTCCCCCAGAGATCACAGGGCTCTGAAGTGTTTACGGCATTTCCAACATTTACAAAGTTCCAGATAAAGATGTGGACGTAGCATGAGCCCCTGTGAATTGTGGAAAACAGTTTCTGTCTAGGAAATTGTTAATCGTTTAAACGTAATCCCAAATGTCAGTGTGGAATTCCAGAAACCTAGTAAATTAGTGAATATCTATTTGAGGATGTAATCTGTCCCCGAGGCAAAGGAACAGCAATAACTAAGGTGTTCCCAGCCTCAAGGTACAGGTAGTTACGGGGAAAGACATAAAATAACCAGCCTGGCGCACTCCAGCACATTACTGCACGTTTAAGGGAAACCAAGATGGGCTCCAAGAGGACGCACACTCAGGGCAGTGGCCTTGGGGCCTCCAGGCCGGGATGGCACTAGGGTGGGAATCCAACCTGAAAGATACTTTTCAAACATGTCTGTACTTATCAAAGCCTAAAGATAATGAGTAAGTCATGTCTTAATTCTGACGAGGCAGGGTGAGTCGGGGCCCAGGACAGAGGAGGCGATGCTGAGCCACGGCGTGATGGATGGGGAGGGTCTCTAGGAGGTTGAGCAGAAAAGGATATTCCAAGCAAGGGAACAGTGTTGGAGAACGTCTCATGACACCAACATTAATGCACATTTGACGGTGAATAATTCAGTTTGGCAACAGTTTCAGGTCTAAGCCTATGGGAGCAGCTACAAATGGAACTTGCTTTAGGAGTCCAGTTGAATTCAGTATGAGGGGGTTAAACTTTACTTGCTGGAAAATGGATATTCACCCAAGTGCAGGCTTAGCTTTTAGCCTAGAGAGCAGGCTGCTGAGAGACGGGAGGTACCAAGAGCACACTTGGGTGGTGACGGTGACAGCCGGGGGAAGAGCTGGTGCAGGTGAGGAGAGCAGCAATGGGGCCGTGACCAGCAGGGTCAGGAGTGGGAGGGGCCCCTGGGGAAGAAGGCAGGCACTAAAGAGGGAGGGCCTAGGATGCAGCAAGCACCCAGGGGACATCATCATCTGACATAGAGAAGTCCACCAGGAGGAGTGGGCCTTAGATTCTGTCTAAACATGTTAACTTTGGGATTCTTATGATATATTCAGGTAAGCAAAGGAGGAAGGATGAGAGAAGAAAAACAGCTTTCAGGGTCATCAGCAGATGAGCTGTTCCAACTCATGCACGAAAAGAAAACGACCCTTTCAGAAACGGAAGATGGTGGCTGGGCGCAGTGGTAGCTCACACCTGTAATCCCAGCACTGTGGAAGTCTGAGGCAGGCAGATCGCTTGAGGCCAGGAGTTCGAGATCAGCCAGCATGACAAAACCTCGTCTCTACTGAAAATACAAAAATTATCCAGGTGTAGTAGTGCAAGTCCGTAATCCCAGCTACTCAGGAGGCCGAGGCAGGAGAATCATTTGAACCTGGGAGGTGGAGGCTTCAGTGAGCTGAGATCATGCCCCTGTACCACTCCAGCCTGGGCAACAGAGCAAGAGACTCTGTCTCAAAAAAAAAAAAAAAAAATGGAAGATGGATCCAAATCCTAAGAAATGAGCTGTGGATGTGAGCCCTGAGCAGAACATGGAGCCGTAGCTCTGACGCCCAGGAAAGGAGTGACGGCTCCCCTCCCTCCAGGGTGTGGGAAGGGCCCGCAAGTGAATCCCTATGTTTCTAAAATTTGGAAGGAGAAGATGAGGGGAGTGACGTTTTGTTAGGTTCAAATCTGGGCCCTAAAGAAGGGATCAGAAGTGCAGACAAAGGTGAAAGTCAGGATCTAAAATCACAGAGCTCTTTCTCTGTGCCAAGCATTGTATGTATCATGTTACCACTTTCAGTTTTCACAGCCAGTGACGCAGGTATTTCTGCCCCAAAATACAGACAAGGAAGCTGAAGCACAGACACTTGGGCTACGTCTGCACAGCCCATACATAGCATCGCCTCTTCCTTCTCTCCCTCAGTGCAACACCTGGAAGAAGTGGCCGCTCAGATCCTTCTCACAAATAGTCGTTCTGTAGAGAATCTCCACTCTAGGGTCCGTAGCAAGTACTGAATTTCCATCCTATGTTGTAAGCTGATAAGGGAAGTTTTAAATACTGAACAAGTTCTAATTCCATTGCTCCTAGAGTTCTAGTGCTTAGTGGGTGTGTAGGGAAACGTTCCCTTGTTTTCATCACACATGAAAAGTAGCAAGAAGTAAGCAGTATAAAGGTTCCAGCCATGCATTAAGATGCTACAGTGAGAACAGGGGGCCGCTGGGGGCCCTGGACTCCTGTGGGTGTTCAGTGCTGAAGGGGAAGCTAGATCCTGCTGTCCTAGGGATAGAACAGAGGCCCTGGGCTATGGTGCGTGGAAGAGGACCCTGTGGGCACAGGCACTGAGCTACCCATCAAGTGAGTGGGGGCAGGTAAAGACCACGCCTCTCCATGTGCAGGTTTCTCACAGGTGCCTTTGGCCAGTGCCCCAGAAAGAGACCACAGGGTCTCTTCTCACCCACAGACATGGCTTTCAGATACGGGCTCCTGAGCCCCAGAGCTGGCATTCTAGGAGTGCAGAGCAGCCCCTGTGCCAAGGCCAAGGCTTCCTGGAGGCCACCACATTGTCGGAGCCAAATCTTGTTGTTTTTGAGGATTTGTTCTGTTTGGTTTAGCTTTGCCCCCAGCCCAGGCCTCCATGGTGGCCAAGAGCTGTCCCTGGCCCTCAAGTCTGCAGGGAGTGACTCAGGGACAGGGCAGCGGGTAGGGCCTAAGGGAGCCCGGCCTCTGTGGTGGGGTCAGGGACTGGGCTTCCCCACAGGAATCCTACATCTGGGGAGATGGGATCCTGGGTAGGACTCCACAATTCTCCCTGGGTAAGACACTTTAATTGTCCCTGGGTAGGATACCGTAATTCTCCCCTTCATTCCTCTTTTCTTCATTCATGCATTGATTCACCCGATCTGTGCAAGGCTTTGGGCTAGGAATTGGGGAACCGCGGATAAACACTTGCATGGTTTATACTCCCAGGAATCGCCTCTCAGAGGAGCCTGTAGAGGAGAGAACCATGTGAGCCTGCAGCAGTCGCCCTGTGAAGACAGCCAGGCCCAGGCCTCTTGCAGGATGCAGAGGCCACGCAGCTGGGAACGCGCCACAGATAAGGCAGGGACATCGGTCAGTCCAAAGGATGGAGGCAAGGGTTGCAGGGAGAGCCCAGAGAGGACGGCGGGGCCTGTGGGCAGGAGAGGGGCCTACGTGGCTGCAGGGCCAGGCCTCGAGGAGCCAACGAGCCGTGTGGAGGAACTCGGGTCCCCCTGAGGAAGGGAAGAGCCTCAGATGATGCTAAAGGCTGGCCTGGAGGTGATCCCAGCCAGGGGGCCTGCACTAGCACTGCTGGAAGCGGAAGCCCCTGGAAGCGGAAGCCCCTGGAAGCGGAAGCCCCTGGAAGCGGAAGCCCCTGGAAGCGGAAGCTGGACAGATGGGGAGAGGCCTTGGGTGTGACATCAACGGAACCTGAGGGAAGCAAAACCCAGCAAGGACACACTCAGTCTGCTGGCCTGGGGCTTTGGGTTGGTAACGTGGACGATGAGTCTAATTTTGGGGCATCCGAGCAGCTGTGCAGCGTCAGGGGGTGCAGGGGTGGACCTGAAGTCAACCCACGCTGGCCTCAGAGCCCCAGCGACCTGCAGGCAAGTCAGGAGCCAGAGGCTGGGGCGGGGGCGGAGGAGGCCGCGGCAGGAACAGGGAAAGGTCAGGGGAAGCACAGACGGGCCCCTCTCTCCAGATTCTGCCTGTAGGAAGGCAGGGAGAAGAAAGGCCCCAGCAGGCAGCGAGCTCAGGCGCCCTCGCCTCTTCTTTCCTCTTCCTGTGAAGAGCCAGACGGGAAGGAGCAGAGGGATTGCCCGCTGGCTCCAGGCGCTGGGGCAGCAGGGGCCTGGAGTGAAGGCGCTGTGGGGCCTGACAACCTCTTTCCTGCCCAGACCCAAACCCCGAACCCTCCCCCACCAGCCTGTGCTGAGGGGCTGCCCCCACCTGAAGAGGGAGGAGGACGCCAAGGCCTGGGAGGCGGGATGGAGCCCATCTTTAGGGGAGTGAGCACTTCCTCCTGGGAATCTGCATGTTTCCAAGAATCAGAACTGACCGGGAAAACTATCCCCGAGCTCAGGAAAGCCAGGGAGAACAGTGGCCTCCCACCTGGACCCACCCATATGCCAGCACCAGGGCTGCCATTTCCACAGGACCCAATGGCATGGCAGGAGATTACCCAATTTCTGGTTCTTCAATTCTTTTCCAAAAATCCCACTTATTTTATATATTACTGTATGTGGTGTGTATGTGTGTGTATTTTTCTGTTCCAGCTGAAAAAATTCCCTTTACAAGCATGTCCAAAGCTTCTGAAAACTAAATAAAATAAGCTGAAAACTAGGCTGAAAACTAAATAAAATAAGCATGTCCAGCTCCTCCTCTCCCATCTGCAGGCACAACCCGAAGCCTGGAATAAGTCACCAGCCCATCACTGTCTCCCAAGACACGAACCTGAAATGGAAGTGCTTGGGAAGCTGCTGTGAGAGACAGAGCCCCCGAGAACGAGGCTGGGAGGCTGTTTTCTTCAGTCATGTTCACCCCCGACATGCACACGTCCATGTGCACTCGCTCGCTCTCTGTCAACAAAACCTCCCCCAGCATCTTTCCTGGTGACTCCCGACTGCTTCTGCCCTCTCCCAGTGAACCAGTTTCCCTCCCGTTCACAGCATCCTAGCCCACCCCAGTCTCCCAGCTTTCTTGAAAGGGGACTGACGGTGCCTAAAGCCTTGGAGAGGACACAGGGAAAGAACTGTCCTCCTGAATCTTGACTGTGTACCCAGAAGCACAGGTTTCCGGAGAAATCCGTTAAGAAAGCTTGCTGGAATCAACGGTGCGGGGTGGTTTCTGAAACGTGTTTCTTATTTAGCCTTTCAGGTTGCCCGAGAGCAAAGAAAAGCGGTATCAGGATAGCACAGAGCAAAGAAGATAAGGAAGATCAAGAGCCCATCAGGTACGAGCACCAGTGGGGCTGAGAACCGTAGCAGGGCTGCAGTGTGGGGGTGAGTCATTCAAGCGAAGCACATCTGCTGATTGGCTGAAAAGTTACAGGGGCTGTCCAGCAGTAAGCTGACATCCATCAATCTGAGGTTCCAGGTAACCCAAATCCCCCTCAAAAAACCTTCCCTCTCCGCTTGGTGGGGAAAGCAGCTGAATTATTGCGAACGGCAGATTGGTGAACGCTCCTGAAAGTACTAAATACAACACCGCAAGCGAATGCTTCGCTGGTATTCTGGCTTGTAAAATAGTTTAGTTACACCTGCCTTGCTCTAAAGCAGGGCTTGGGGCCGCAGCAGACACTGGGCTCGGGGCCTGTGACGACCGACGGGCTGCCCAAGGGGGTGATTGTCCCCATCCCACGTCAGCCATGCCTGGGCCCCAAAAACCCACACAGTAAACCTCACTCCACATCTTCAGAAAAAAAATTTAATTAAAACAGAATCAAAATAAATTAAAGCGTACATTATTCAAATAAATTAAGATTTGTCAAAATAAATAGGTGATGCAAATTCTGGGGAACGCGAACTTTTCTGTTAATAAAAACAATGCAGGCAAACTCACCACTCAGGGCACATGAGGAGTGCTTAGGCCAGGCCCTGCCTCCTTCAGGCGCCTCTGCTGCCCTGGTGTGTGTCTTGGTCCTGCCATTCCCAAGTTCCCGGGAACACACCTGCCCTGTGTCCATGTGCCAGCCTGACTCCAGGAGACCTCCTGAGACGTCTCACAGCTGAGTATCTTCTCTAGCTGGAAGGGCATTTTAAGGCCTCCAGAAGACACAGCCAGACAAACGTCTTCTCGCCCTTGAGAAAAGCACGAAGCAGCCTCTTTAAAAATAATGCCACGACATCTTATTGACTTTGCATATTTTCCACCCGAAAAGCCATGGTTCTGTCCCAAAGTGGTGTCTTTTAAATACACGCTTATATAGCTGCAAGCGGCTGCATGGTCTTTTGTGTGCTGAACCCATCAGTCCCCACAAGGCACATACACTTTATTCCCAAAAATCCTTCCCTCCGCCGTGGGTCAGGCCTTCTGCGCAGGCGAACTAGTTCAGTCTTCCACTAGGTGGTGTCTTTTAGTGACTTTTCTTTCTCTTTTTTCTTTTCCTTTTGCCCAGCCAGGAGGGCATGGTTCTTCTTTTCCTCCTCATGCCGGGTTATCCTGACTTTGTTACAGAGACCACTAGCCGACGGTGGCCAGGCAATAAAGTGTGTCCCCTCTGCCTGCCTGCAGGTGTCCGGTCCCCGGGTGCGACGGCCAGGGTCACATCACCGGGAAGTACGCGTCCCATCGCAGTGCCTCCGGGTGCCCCTTGGCGGCCAAGAGGCAGAAAGACGGGTACTTGAATGGCTCCCAGTTCTCCTGGAAGTCGGTCAAGACAGAAGGCATGTCCTGCCCCACGCCAGGGTGCGACGGCTCAGGCCACGTTAGCGGCAGCTTCCTCACACACCGCAGGTGAGTGGCTGCGTCTGCGGGACCCTAGCTGGGATGGTGCTGCCGAGAGCCAACTGGCGTGGCTGGTTACGACGGCAGCAGGTGCCAGCTTCTCCCGTCACCTGTGTTTAGAAAGAAAAGGCTGAAAAGTATCGTATCAACCTAACGAAATTCATAGGTTTGGGGACAGCGTTGAAACACCTTAAACTTACATTAGGGAGCACAGCCTCCTTCAGCCCCATCTATAGATGACCACAGCAGTTTTCCATTTTTAAAATTAGAATCCACAGTTAGCTATAGACTTTCATTTAGACATGCACATGAATATCTTAAGATTTAGTTACTTATTTCACCTGAGATTCACAGGCAGGCCTCACTGGGGAAAAGAGGATAGCGTTTGGCACGGTGGCTCCTGGTGAATGCCTGTGCCAAAGATGCATGAGAAAATTCCCAAAAGAGCCAATCAACCTCATTCATTTTTATTTGCTTCATTTAAAAAGAAATACAAGCAGTTAGATTATCTTAGGAGAGGACCGTTCTGTGCAGTCAGATGGTGCAGTCGGTCCCTCTGTAGGGAGTGAAGACCGGTGTGGGACCTGTCTCCACGGCTGATGACTCCCATTACACTCGGCGTCCCTCAGCTTCCTTGAGGAGGCAGAGGGGAAGATACAAACATCATGCATACGATGTGAAGGTCGTGCCCTTTGGGGAGATTTGCAGTGGTTTCCTTTCTGCTGCCCTATGTGCCACTTTCTACGAAAATCACACCTGCGCCTCAAATCCATCTCAAACACAGCATGAACAAAGATGGGTATGCAGATTACAGGAATAATGGCACGTTCAGTAATAGGTGACTCTGATCCTTAAAGAAATGTTAAGGAAGTTTTTTTTTAATTATTAAAGAAATTCCTGCTCAAGTAGAAAATTCAAACAATATAAATTGGTTTAAAGAGAAAAATTGGCCGGGCACAGTGGCTCATGCCTGTAATCCCAGCACTTTGAGAGGCTGAGGCGGGCAGATCACCTGAGGTCAGGAGTTTGAGGCAGCCTGGCCGACATAGTGAAACCATGTCTCTATTAAAAATACAAAAATTAACTGGGCGTGGTGGCTGGCACCTGTAATCCCAGCTACTCGGGAGACTGAGGCAGGAGAATCACTTCAACCCGGGAGGCGGAGGTTGCAGTGAGCCAAGATTGCACCCCTGCACTCCAGCCTGGGCTACAGAGCAAGACTCTGTCTCATACAAAAAAAAAATTGAGAGAGAGAGAGAAATTGAATGTCCTTTCCCGGACCTCATCTCTCAACTCCCTTCTCAAAGGCAGGCAGTTCCCGTCTTCTCTGGAACTGAAAAGCACCCCTATTTATACACATGGATCTCAGTGTCTCCCAGAACCCTGCATGAGGACAGGGGCCTCAGCTGCTCACCAGGACCACCCAGTGCCCAGCAGACGGGGCGTTCCTCGTTAGGTGCACGGAACCCCAGGGTATCACAGAACCACCTCACCCTCCCCAGTGAACCTGCTGCTGTGCATGCCACCCAGTCCCCTGTCCAGGTTTGATTGTTACAAAGAACTCCACGTGAACATCCTTCCACACCCAACTCCATGTCCTTGTGCAAGCAGATCTCCAGGATATATTCCTGGAAACAAGAATGCTAGCTTTAAAATTTTGACAGATTGTGCCAAAATGCCCTCCAAAAAAGTGTCTACTTTCCCAAATCTTTCACCATTAATAAAATGTTTAAAAATTGTGTAAAAACCCTGCCCATTTGACCTATGAGTAAGGGCTTGTATGTTTTGCTAGCCTGACACAAACGAAAACAGTTCCGTCCTCTCACGTGAGCATTTCTGCACTCCAGGGATGGCACTGGTTCAGAGCTGCCTCTGCGGAGCCTGGTGCTTTAGCTTTCCTCCTGCTGAGACTTTGCCCATTTGATTTAAGCAGCAAATACCAGGTGCCAGATAAGTGCTGTTCCCTCCCGCTCCCCAGCCTCTGGTTGCATTGCATGTTAGGGTCAGAGGACGGCCCTCCACCAAGAACTCTGTGCTGCCGCTTGTTCCATGGGGGAGGGCTTAGCGCTCGGGAGCCACTGAAGTGGGAAGCAGGACCCCGCCCCAGGTCACCCTTTCCCAAATGCCAGGCGTGAATTTCTGCAGCTAGAACCTCACCCACACACCTCTGTCTACTCTGTTGCCAGCCTCACCTCAATTTCCATCCTTCCCTGTTTCTTTTCTCCAAAGGGAGCCTCTTCCCCAGGGTCCCGGGCACAGAGTGAGAGCATGTTGAGATGCATGCACTGGCCTCGACAAGCCGATGGAATATTGGGGAGCAGGCTGATGGAATATTGGGGAGCAGGCTGGTGGAATATTGGGGAGCAGGCTGGTGGAATCTTGGAGAGCAGGCTGGTGGAATCTTGGGGTACAAGCTGATGGAATATTGAGTGCAGGCTGATGGAACGTTGGGGTGCAGGCTGATGGAATATAGGGGTGCAGGCTGGTGGAATCTTGGGGTACAAGCTGATGGAATATTGAGTGCAGGCTGATGGAACATTGGGGTGCAGGCTGATGGAATGTTGGGGCACAGGCTGATGGAATGTTGGGGTGCAGGCTGATGGAATCTTGGGGGCAGGTTGATGGAATCTTGGGATTCAGGCTGATGGAATCTTGAGGCACAGGCTGATGGAATCTTGGTGGCAGGTTGATGGAATCTTGGGGTGCAGGCTGGTGGAATTTGGGGGCACAAGCTGATGGAATCTTGGGGTACAGGCTGATGGAATCTTGGGGCCCAGGCCACATTAGTGAGTAAAATCACAGCTTACAGGCTCATGTTACTCAGAGAATTTGCAATGCTGGAAGCTCCCATCTCTGAAAGCTGTATGCCTCTCACTTCACTCCCACCTGGTTGCTACCCACCCTTGCCCAGAGCTCAGAGCCTCCTCTTTCAGGATCCCAGGTCCCTAGAGGGCCTGCAGAAGTCCAGGCATGATAGAAATGACTCCAGCTGCCCATGCCCCACCTACCCTGCAGGGCCACAGCTTGATGGGAGAGGCCACAGGCTCCAGGCCCAGGTATCAGTATTCACGTGCAGGGTGTGGAGGTGGAAATGTCAGCATGCTAGGCAGCTCTTGCTACAGCCCTGCCGTGGGCTGGCTGAGCTGCACGGAAATGTTGACACTCCTCCATTTTACTAAAAGGCACCATCAGAACTCTCTGAACTGCTGGCTTCGGCCACCTCCGAGGAGGAAAGGGGACCTCCCTGTGTGTCACAGGGCTCTGGGCGTGTTTGCCCGGAGACCAGCACCTCTGTTTGTGCAGCAAAGGAAAACCCGGGGCAGCAGCACAAGGGGAAAAGGGGCAGTCCAGGCCTGAGCACGGCGGTCCTGGGTTCTGTTCTGTTCTTATAGTTGTGGTAAAATATTAACACACTCATCTTTAGGTGTATGATTCAGTAGTGTTAGGTATACACATGGTCCTCAACTTACAATTTTTCAATCTTACAATGGTGCAAGAGCAATATACACTTGGTAGAAGTGGCACTTTGAGTATCCACACAACCATTCTTTTTTACTTGCATTTAGTATTCAATAAATTACAGGAGATATTCAACACTTTTGTATAACTAGGCCTTGTGTAAGTTGACTCTGCCCAGCTGTGGACTGATGGAAGTGTTCTGAGTGCGTTTAAGGTGGGCTAGGCTAAGCTATGATGTTGAGTCAGTACAAGTATTAAATGCATTTTTGACTTAAAATATTTTCAAGATACAGTATTTTCAACTTAAGATGGCTATATGGGGATGCTGACCCCATGGTATGTGGAGGAGTACCTGTATCCATCCCCGTGGTGTGTGGAGGAGTACCTGTATCCATCCCCGTGGTGTGTGGAGGAGTACCTGTATCCATCCCCGTGGTGTGTGGAGGAGTACCTGTATCCATCCCCGTGGTATGTGGAGTACCTGTATGCATCCCC